TCTGTCTCCTTTATATATCTGTCTCCTTTATCTGTCTCCTTCATATATCTGTCTCCTTTAAATATCTGTCTCCTTTGCATATCTGTCTCCTTTATAATTGTTATTTATTTCTTTTTTCTTTTATCTTTTATGACATTTGTATTTAAATAACAAACACTAAATAATAATATTTGTTTATTTGTCTCTTTTTTATCTGTCTCCTTAATTCTTTAAATAAAAACAAATAAATAAAATAAATAAATATAAATAAATATAAAGTATATATATATATTTGTCTCTGCAGCGGGGTCTCCTTTCTTTATCTCACCCGAGTGTCTCTCAACTGGAGACAAAAAAGGCGTAAAAGGAGACAGAAGAGACACCTGGGCTATCGGTATTACTCTTTATTGCATGCTCTTCTCTAGGCCCCCCTTCTGGTATATAAACCCTAAACCCTAAACCCTAAACCCTAAACCCTAATGCTCCTCTGTAGGCCCCCCTTCTGGTGTATAAACCCTAAACCCTAAACCCTAATGCTTATATACGAACCCTAAACCCTAAACCCTAATGCATATATATAAACCCTAAACCCTAATGCTCTTCTCTAGGCCCCCCTTCTGGTATATAAACCCTAAACCCTAATGCTGATATACAAACCCTAAACCCTAATGTTTATACCCTAATCCCTAATACTAACCCCTAAACCCTAATTCTAAACCCTACTCAATAATTTTAAACCCTAAACCCTAATTCTAAGTCCTAAACGCTGAACCCCAATTATAAACCCTAAACCCTAATTATAAACCCTAAACCCTAATTCTAAATTCTATTCAAACCCTAAACCCGCACTCCCTCAGCTGCAGGACCCCCCTCCCTGCTGCTTCTGCTGTTGCTGCTGCTGCTGCTGCTGCTGCTGATTTGTTCTATAGGGGACACCGAGGCCTTGCTCTCGCATGCAAATTAATAAAAGAAGAAATAAAACCCCCGACCTGGAGAAGTGTCTCCTCCCAGTGTGCAGACTTCCTACAGTAAGAACAGCGCCTGCAGCAGCACCTGCTGCTGCTGCTGCAGTATATGCTGCTGCTGCTGCTGTAGTACTTGCTGCTGCTGCTGCTGCTGCTGCTGCTGTAGTATATGCTGCTGCTGCTGCTGTTACTGCAGTGTATGCTGCTGCTGTTGCTGCTGCAGTATATACTGCTGCTGTTGCTGCTGCAGTATATACTGCTGCTGGTGCTGTTGCGGTTTCTGCACTTATTGCTGCTGCTATTCTCTGCTGCTGCTGCTGCTGCTGCTGCTGCAGGGGATTGCTGCAGCGGGACCCGCAGCAGCGGCTGTCAGTAGAAGAAGCTCTTTCTCACCCCTGGTTGGCTGATGCTGTCTCTGTAATAAATAATAACAATAAATGAGGTGCGGAGACACCTGAAGGGACAAACAATTGATGCTGCTGCTGCATGCAGCCAGACATTGAAGGAGACAGGCTGCCGCTGCTGCTTCTGCTGCTGCTGCTGCTGTCTCTTTTGGTGACTGTCTCTGGTGCGAGACAGTCTGGCTAGCTGCTGCTGGTGCTGCTGCTCCAGCAGCAGCAGCAGCAGCAGCTAGCTAGCTAGCTGGCTAGCTAGCCAGCTAGCTGGCTAGCTAGCTACTGCCTCCAGACAGCTTTGGAGGAAGCAGCAGCCGAAGAGGGAGATGGGCCCCAAGAGTCCCTCCAATGATTCCCAGCTAGCTGTAGCTAGCTGTAGCTAGCTGTAGCTAGCTGTAGCTAGCTATAGCTTTTGGCAGCTAGCTACAGGTTATCTGCGGTCAGGAGGAGGAGTTTTGCTGCAGCAGCAGCAGCAGCAGCAACAGCAGCAACAGCAACAGCAGCAGCAAAGTTTCTGCTGAATATACACTGAGCTGGAAAGGGGCTTCCTTTGCTTTTCTCAGTCCTCAGGGAAGTTGCAGCTGCCAGCTAGCTAACTAGCTAGCTAGCTAGCTGTCTTTTTCTATGTATCTATCTATTTACTTAGCTAGCTGGCTCGCTAGCTAGCTGTCTATCTATGTATCTATCTATCTCTCTAGTAGGTTAGCTAGATAGCTAGCTATCTATCTGTCTATCAATGTGTATAGCTAGCTAGCTAGCTAGCTAGCTGTCTACCTCTCTATCTATATAGCTAGCTAGCTAGCTAGCTGTCTATCTCCCTATCTATCTATCTAGCTAGCAAGCTATCAATCTGTCTAGCTAGCTAGCAAGCTATCAATCTGTCTAGCTAGCTAGCAAGCTATCAATCTGTCTATCTATCTAGCTAACTCGCTGGGTAGCTAGCTAGCTATCGATCTGTCTAGCTAGCTAGCTAGCTAGCTAGGCATGAAGCGAAGCTAACGCCCCAATTCTCTCTGAGTTTTACTAGGGAATAAATTAGTCGATTTGTTTGTCTCAGCATACATAAATATATATATATATATATAAATATATATATATTTGTTTATATATATATATATATATACAAATACACTTTACTCTGCGCATAGACAGGTATGCATCTACAGATAAATAAATATAGAGAGCATACTACATTTATATATATATATATATATTTACATATATTTATATACAAATATATATAAGTATATATAAATATATATATACAAATATATATAAATATATACAGATATATATATAAATATATATATAAATATTATATATTGATTATATATTTACAGACCCGTATATATTATATATGTGTGCATATATTCACAAGTAAAATATATTTATGAATAAACAAATAGACAAACAAACAAAAGATAATTTAATAAATAAATAAATAAATTTATATGCAATTAAAATTAAATACATTTTAATAATACTCTGCTTGGAACTTAGACAAACAAATAACAAAAAAAAATGCATCCGCTGTTGCTGTTGCTGCTGCAGCAGCAACAGCAGCAGCAGCAGCAGCAACAGCAGAAATGTAGCAGCAGCATTATTAACAGTAACGGTATTATCAACAGCAGCAATTGAATACTTAATTTTATATTTGCTGCACTCAGCCTTATATCGTAAACCCTAAACCCTAAACCCTAAACCCTAGAATACTCAGTGGCTGCTCGGGTGTATATGGGTTTTGCTTGACAGTTATATTCTAGAAATAATAATTTATAATATAAAGTTAAGAGTTTTAAATAAAATATAGCGGGAGTAAAGGATTCTTGCTGCTGCTGCTGCTGCTGCTGCTGCAGCAGCTGCTGCTGCTGCAGTGGGGGGTTGGCGATGCTGCTGCTTTCCCTGCTGAAGGATTTGTTTTTTGTGTATTTGTTTCTTCTTTAAAGAAGAGTTAAGCTGTTTAGTTCGTCATTTATTGCGCGTCTGCACACCGTAGCAGCAGCAACAGCAGCAACAGCAGCAGCAGCAGCAGCAGCAGCAGCATTAGGAGTGTAAGTGACCTTGGGAACCTCCTTCCCCCTGCAGCAGCAGCAATTAGCTTTAAATGGCTTCACTCCGCAGCAGCAATCTTCCTGCTGCTGCTGCTGCTGCTGCTGCTGCTGCTACTGTAGGGGACAGTCGGGCGGAAGAGCAGGAGACGCCTCCAGCAGCAGCAGCAACAGAAACAGCAGCAGCAACAACAACAGCAACAGCAGCAACAACAGATGCAGCAACAGCAGCAAAACCGCACGAAGAAGTCAACGTTGCTGCTACAGAGGCCTTGGCAGCAGCAGTAGCAGCAACGGGAGCTCTTGCTGCTGCTGCTGCTGCTGCACAGCCTGCTGCTGCAGCGGCTGCAGCCACGGAAGACATCGCATCGCTGCTAGCAGCAGAAGCAGCAGAAGCAGCAGCAGCAGCAGAAGCAGCAACAGCAGCAGCAGCAGTGCATCAGAGCCGTCCCCATTTCGCGCTCGCTGCAATGCAACAGCAGCAGCAACAACAGCAACAGCAGCAGCAGCAGCAGCAACCAGGCGTAAGGGGAGAGGGCATACACACGCCAGCTGCTGCAGCTCCCGCTGCTGCAGCTCCTGCTGCTTGTGCAAATGCTGCAGCAGCAACACCGCATCCGCCCGCAGCAGCTGCAGCAGAAGCTGATGCAACAGCTGCACCAGCAGCCCCAGTGTGTCTAGTGGCAGCAACAGCAGCAGCAGCAGCAGCAACCGGCTCATCAGCAGTAACAGAAGCAGCTGCTGCTGCAGCAGCAGCGCCTTCGATAGTGGCCGCAGCCGCAGGAGTGCCTGCAGCAGCAGCAACAGCAACGTCACCAACAGCAGCAGCAGCAGCAGCAGCAGCACGAACTGAACATCCAACGCAGCAGCCACGCACTGCAGCAGCAGATCTTGCAGCAGCAACAGCAGCAACAGCAACAGCAGCAGCAGTTGTAAGTCCAACGGCCCCTGCAGCATTACCCTTTGTGGCAGCTGCTGCAGAAGCAACAGCATCAGCAGCAGCAGCAGGGCGTGAAGATGCAGCAGCAGCAGCAGCAGCAACAGCAGCACTGCAGCGAAGGGGAGCTCCTCTGGCAGGATCTGCAGCAGCATGTGCAGCAGCAGCCACACCTGCAACAACACATACTTCGGGCTTAGCAGCAAACCCTGCAGCAGCAACACCTGCAGCAGCAACACCTGCAGCAGCAACACCTGCAGCAGCAACACGTGAAGCAGCAACACCTGCAGCAGCAACACGTGCAGCAGCAACACCTGCAGTAGCAACACCAGCAGTTGCACCTGCAGCAGCAACACCTGCAGCAGCAACACCTGCAGTAGCAGCGCAGGCAGAACCAGCAACACCTGCAGCAGCACCACCTGCAGCAGCAACACCTGCAGCAGCAACATCAGCAGCTGCACCTGCAGTAGCTGCAGCTGCAGCAGCAACACCTGCAGCAGCAACACCTGCAGCTGCACCTGCAGCAGCAACACCTGTAGCAGCAACACCTGCAGCAGCAACACCTGCAGCAGCAGCAACTGCAGCTGCACCTGCAGCAGCTGCACCTGCAGCAGCAACACCTGCAGCAGCAGCAACTGCAGCTGCACCTGCAGCAGCAACACCTGCAGCAGCAGCAACTGCAGCTGCACCTGGAGCAGCTGCACCTGCAGCAGCAACACCTGCAGCAGCAGCCCCTGCAGTAGCAGCGCAGGCAGCAACAGCAACACCTGCAGCAGCTGCACCTGCAGCAACAACACCTGCAGCAGTAATATATGCAGCAGCAACACCTGCAGCAGCAGCACCCGAAGCAGCATGTGCAGCGGCAACAGTAGCAGCAGCAACACCTGCAGGAGCAACACAAGCAGCAGCAATACGTGCAGCAGCTGCACCTGCTGCTTCTGAGGTAGCCACAGCAACAGAAGCAGCTGCAGCAGCAACAGCAGCAGCAGCAGAAGCAGATAAGGAGACAGCTTTTTGTATGCCGGCCTCCCCCCAATCCTCTAGTGAACAGCAACTGCTGCAGCAGCAGCTGCTGCTGCAGCAGCAGATCGAGAAGCTGCAGCGTCAGCACCACCTCCTGCAGCTGCAGCAGCAGCAGCAACGACTGCCTCAGGAGTTGCAGCAGGAAACGAAGCAGCAGCAATTGTCAGAGCAACTGCAGCAGGAACAGCAGCAGCAGCAGCAATGTGCTGAGTCTTCCGCTACCCCATCTCCGCCCTGCGCTGTTAGCGCCGCTGCTGCTGCTTCTGCTGCTGCTGCTGCTGCTTTCAAGACAGCAGAAGCTGCTGCAGTGCAGCAGCCCTGCTCTCCTGTTGCAGCAGCAGCAGCAACAGCTGCAGCGACAGCAGCAACCGGTATGGCAGCAGCAACAGATGCAGCAGCAGCAGCAGCAGCAAGTCCTCATGCGCCAGCTGCTGCTGCTTCTGCTGCTGCTGCTGCTTCAGCTGCTGCTGATTCTGCTGCAGCTGCTACGACACCAGATAAAACGCATGCAGCTGTGCTTGGCGTAGATTCTGCTGCTGCTGCTGCAGTAGGATGCTTGGCTACCGCCACACCCCTTGCTGCTGCTGGACTTGCTGCTGCATCTGTTGCTGCTGCACCTGCTGCTGTTGCTGCACCTGCTGCTGCGTCTCCTTCTGCTGCACCTGCTGCTGTCGCACCTCCACCTGCTGCTGCTGCTGCTGCTGTGGCTCCACCAGCAGCAGCTTCTCCAGACACTGCGCAGGAAGGAGCACCGGCGGCAGGCAGCACAGCAGCAGCAGTAGCAGCAGCAGCAAGCGATCGTCTGACGAGTGCAGCAACAGAAGAAGCTTGCGCAGCAGAGTGCCTGGGAACAGTGCCGGAAGCAGAAAGAGCAGCAGCAGCAGCAGCAACAGCAGCAGCAGCAGCAGCACTGCCAGCTCGCTCCCCGTCTACCCAGGCCCCAGATGAAGCAGGGGCTGCACCTCCTGCTGCTGCTGCTGCTGCTGCCAGTGTAGAAGCTGCAGCAGAGGAGATTGCGGCAAATTTAGAAAGACCTGTTGCTGCTGCTACAGGGCCCGTTGCTGCTGCTGCAGCACCTGCTGCTGCTGCAGCACCTGCTGCTGCTGCTGCTGCAGCACCTGCTGCTCCACACGCGAACGCATTAGATAGCCTGTGCTTGTCTCTAGCAGAAGCAACAGCAGCAATACCAGCAGCAGCAGCAGCAGCAGCAGCAACTGCCTCATCAGCAGAAGCAACACCAGCAGCAACAGCAGCAGCAACAACAGCTACGCTTGCTGCTGCGGAGCCGTTGCTTCAACAGAAGGCATTTGAGCTGCTTCCGGAGCTACGCAGCAGCAGCAGTAGCAGCAACAGCAGCAGCAGCAGCCGCAGCAACTGCGCTAGTCCGCAACGCCATTACGAAACGAAGCCAGAATCTGTAGAGCAGCACCCACAGCAGCAGCAGCAGCAGCAGCAGCAGCAGCCAGCAGCAAGTGCAGCGAGTAGCGAGGGTATGCCTCCCCTTTTGTCTGGAGGCCCCAAGCGGACGCATTCTGCTGCTGCTGCTTCTGCTGCTGCTGCTGCTGCTGTTGCTGCTTCGTCTCCCATCCCAAAGCGGCTGCAGCGCGTTGCGCCATTGCAGCAGCAGCCAGCAGCAACTGCTACTGCTGCTGCTGCTGCTGCTGCTGCGGAGGCAGCAGCAGATGAAAGGAGACTATTTGCAGATACCCGCTATCGAGTTGGAGACATTGTGGAGGTCCGTTGGCTGCTGCAGGAAGAAGAAGGTGACCCCGTTGAGCAGCAGCAGCAGCAGCAGCAGCAGCAGCAGCAGCAGCAGGGGCAGCTAGTGTGGTGGCCGGCAGAGATACGGAGGAAGGCAGCAGCAAGAAGAGACAGCAAAGGACGTGCAGAGTATTTGCTGCAGTACTTCGATTTAAAAGGGGTTAAAGGAGAGAGAGCTGTAGTTGTCTTTGAGGGGCCCCACACCCTCAGACACCTGGGGCCGCCGCAGCAGCAGCAGCAGGAGCAGCAGCAGCAGCACGGGCTCTCATTAGACGAAGAAATCGCTCAGGCACCGCAACTCTGCTGCAGGAGAGAGGGGTCTTTATCTCCACCAAGTAGGCTGCTGCTGCTGCTGCTGCTGCTGCTGCTGCTGCTGCTGCTGCTGCTATTTGCTGCAGTTTGGTTGTGTTTGGGGTGTCTATGCAGGTCCCAACTCTGAGGCTTTTCTTTGTGAAGGAGAAGAAGACCCCCCTGTCTCTGTTGCAGACATCATTAAAGAGCAAGAACGCCTAGATAGAGAGCAGGTAAACAATTGCTGCTGCTGCACTTGCTGCTGCTGCTGCTGCTGCTTCTGTTGCTATTGCGAAGGAGGAGGAGGAGGCAGCAGCAGCGCATTAAATGGGCCGGGCTGAAGCTGCTGCTGGAGTTGCTGCTGTTTTTGCTGCTGCTGCACCAGCTGCTGCTGCTACTCTACCTGCTGCAGTTGCTGTTGCTGCAGCTGCTTTTGCTGCTGCAACTGCATGATGTGCTGCCGCTGCTGCTTCTGTAGCTGCTGCCCTTGCAGCAGCCGCTGCTGCTGTGCGGAAGGCACCCAGAGGGCAACACTGCAGCAGCAGCAACAGCAACAGCAACAGCAGCAGCAGCAGCAGGTCTGTTGTTTTTGCTTCAGGGGACAATAGAAACGCCTACAGCAGAGGCTGCGATGATGGCTGCTTTCAATCAGCTGCCTTTGGAGACAGTTCGTTCTTCCCGCTGCTTCTGCTGCTGTTGCTGCTGCTGCTCCTTTGCTGCTGCTGCTGCTGCTGCTGCTGCTGCTGCCTGTTGCAGTTGATGTTGCTGCTGCTGAGTTGTGTTTGTTGATGCAGCAAATGCTGATGGCTAGCAGCTACCGCTCATTTGCAGATAAATTTGTGGTGAGGCCTTCAGTCTGCTGCTGCATTGTGCTGCTGCTGCTGCTGTTGCTGCTGCAGCAAGGGGACATTTCTGCAGTAGTGTCTTAGCCCTTGAGTTAATCTGTGCAGCAACAGCAGCAGCAGCAGCCGCATGAGCTTCAGTCGCTTTAACAGCAGATACAGCTGCAATTTTTGCTGCCTTTTCTGCGTCTCTTGATCCGCCGTGCTGCTGCTGCTGCTGTTGCTGCTACTGCTGCTGCTGCAGTCATTTTTGCAGGAGCGGGTGCGTGAGAGGGGCCCCTCATGCACAATAACAGAAAGAGATGTTTTAAACTTCAGAGAGCAGCTGCAGTCGGAGACAAATATTGGGGGCCCCCCGGGGGCCCCCTCCTCTTCCTGGGGTCCCTGGTGATTTGCTGCCGGTGTGGGGCCCCACAGGGAGCAGCAGCAGCAGCAGCAGCAGCAGCAACAGCAGCAACTGTTGGTGCTACTACTGCTGCTACTGCAGCAGCAGCAGCAGAGGAGAAGCAGCAGTAGCAGCAGCAAGCGTGGATGCTGCTGCTACTGCAGAAGCAGCAGCAGCAGCAGGAAACGTTGGTGCTGCTGTTGCTGCTGCTGCTGCTGCTGCTGGTGCTGCAGCAGAAGCAGCTGCGGGAGCTTCACACTGTAGGGTGCTGCTGCTGCAGTTGCGTTCAGCTGCTGTCTCTGTTGCAGCAAAAGGAGACAGGAGACACATAACTTTGTTTTTCATAGTTGTCATGTTTGTTTTGTTTTTATATTATTTTAACTCTGTTTTTGTTAATATTATTTATTTTTACTGTTTATTTATTTTTATTATTTATTTATTATTATTTATTATTTATTTATATTTATAGTTATATATATTATTATTATTATTAGCATTAATATTTAGTTGTTATTTTTTATTGTTTTATTTTATTATTTTATTACTTATTTATTTATTTTATCAATAGTCTCTCAGTATTTTATTATTTTATTAATATTATTATATTTATTATCTTAGTTTGTTTGTCTCGCTGTCTCTCTTACTCTCGCCTTTGCATTGTATCACAACTTCAAAGAGGTCAAAGATAGGGGGCCCCTACAAAGACAAACAGCAAACAACAACTATATATTTATAGGGGCCCCCACACAGGGCCCCCACAGCCTTAAAGAAGGACCTTTAAAAAGAAGCCTTCTTTGGGGGCCCCCTTAGAGGGCCCCCAAAGAAGGGGCCCCCTTAGAGGGCCCCCAAAGAAGGGGCCCCCTTAGAGGGGCTTTTAATAAGGGGCCCCCTTAGAGGGGCTTTTACTAAGGGGCCCCTCTATGAGGGCCCCTTTAGGGGGCCCTCTAAGGGGGCCCCTTATTGCGGGCCCTAAAAGGGGCCCCTACACAGGGCCCCCAAAAGGGGCCCCTATAGAGGTACCCTTAGAAGGGGGGCCCCCAAAAAGAGGCCCTTATAGAGGGATCCTTAAAAGGGGGCCCCCTATAAGGGGCCCCCATAGAGGGGCCCTTAAAAGGGGCCCCATTAGAGGCCCCCATAGGGGGCCCCTAAGAGGGGTCTTCTACAGGGGCCCCTTAAGGGGCCCCTTATTGTTGTCTGCTATTTGTGCTTGCGTCGTCAATGCCGAGGTAATATCAACCAACGTAAGAAGGAAGAGTCTCTTCAGCTAGCTAGATAGCTAGATAGCTAGCTAGCTAGCTAGATAGATAGATAGATAGATAGGTAGATAGATAGATAGATAGATAGGTAGATAGATAGATAGATAGATAGATAGATAGCTATCCTTTGTGTTTTCCTTTGTTGAGGGTGTTCTTGTATTTCTTCAGAGGCCTCTATAGGGAGCAGCTAGCTGTAGATGCGCTGTGGAGGCTATAGCTAGCTGCAGCTAGCTACGTGGGGAGTTATAGCTAGCTACAGCTAGCTATAGCTAGCTATAATCTATAGACAGGGGGGGAGGAGGGTTTGTGCAGATGGTGAGGCTAATCTATTGATGCTCTTCGCTTAATGTTTGTTTGTTTCTTATTTGCAATAAACTATTTAAACAAAATAATTAATATATTCAAAGGAGTAACAGCAGAGGACAGAAGAACAGCACCTACAAGCAATATTTATATACAGTGGGGCGGGGCTGCATGCAGACACCCTGCTGCTGCAGTTGCTGCAGGCAAGAATTGCCGGTTTATGTTCTCTTTTATTTCTTTTGATGCTTTCTTTTAATTATTTTATTTAATATTTATACATTTAAAGCTCAAAGAAGCAGCAGAAACCGCCGGCTGCTGCCGCCAAAGCTGCTGCTGCCGCTTTTGCTGCTGCTGATGCTGCTGCAACTGCTGCTGCAGTTGCTGCTCCTTCTCGGCCTTGTTTCTCCTCATCTTTTTTATGTACTTTTGTTTTATAATTTAAATAGCGAGTATAGAGGACCTCCGTAACGTAGAAAGGATTCAAACTGCAGCAGCACCAACAGCAGCACCAGCAGCAGCGCCAGCAGCAGTGCCAGCAGCAGAGGCAGCAGCAACAGCAGCAAAGGCAGCAGCAGCAGCTCCAACAGCACAACGGAGAGGCCGCACCGGATTTTATTGGTGGCCCTTCGTGCAAACCCTAAACCCTAAACCATCAGTCTGTATGCAGGCTGTCTTCATTCGATAGGCTGTCTCTCGGCGTTACAGCTAAACCCTAAACCCTAAACCCTCATTCTTCTATGACAAGGCTTGGGGAGGCGGGTGTCTCTGCAGCACCATAGAGCTGCTGCAGCGGCAGCAGCAGCTAACGCAGCAGCATGAGCAGCAGCAGCTGCTGCTGCTGCTGCTGCCAGAGCAAATAGGAAGACGCAAGCAAACGATGAGGCGCAGCAGCAGCACCAGCAACTGATGTAGTAGCAGCAGCTGCAGCAGCAGCAAAGGCAGTATCAGCAGCGGCAACAGCAGCCGCAGCATCAACAGCAGCAACAACCGAAGCAGCATTTAGAACAGCAGCAGCACCAACTGCAGCACCACCAGTAATTGGAGCACCAGCTCCGGCAGCAGCAGCAGCAGCAGCAGCAGCAGCAGGATGCTGCCTTCTTGGGTTTCAACGGATGAGGCTTCTGGACATGTTTTACAGCCCTTGTCTGAAGATAGTGTTGATATAGGTAATATCCGTATAGAGTTATTAGAGTTTGCTGCTGCAGCAGAGCTGCAGCAGCTGAGCAGCAGCAGCAGCGGGAGAACATTTGAAGGGTCGCGGCGTCAGCAGATTCCTGCTGTTGTTGCTGCTGCCTTCCTCCTCTTCTTTGTTGCCTTTACTGCTGCTTCTGCTGTTGAGAAGCAAACACAGACTGTATTTAAAGGCCCAATGATGCAAATGCTGCTGCCTCAAGCGCTGCAGCAGCAGCTGCTGCGGCGCTTCGCTCACAACCACCACCAGCAGCACGAGCAGCACGAGCAGCAGCAACAGCAGCAGCAGTACTGGGAAGTACTCGAGGAATACGACGTGCAGGATTGGGAAGAGAAGGGGCAGCAGCAGCAGCAGCAGCAGCAGGGCGACGAGGAGGAGGAGGAGCAGCAGCAGCAGCAGCAACAGGAAGATGATGAAGAGGAGCAGCAGCAGGAGGAGGAGGAGCAGCAGCAGCAGCAAGGAGAAGAATTAGCATGCGAAGGGAAGAAGGGCTCTGGATCTCAGACACGAGACGCTGCGGCTGTTACTGTTGTTGCTGCAGCAGCAGCAGCAGCTGCTGCTGCTGCTGCTTTTGCTGTAACTGCTGCTGCTGCTACAGGCGTAATTTAGATTCTTGCGGTCTCTGCCCCGCCCAATGCTTTTTTTTGTTTATAACGAAGTTGCTGCCTCTCCTTTGCTAGGTGCAGCAGCAGCAGATCAGTTTGCTGCTGCTGCTGCATGTGGCTTTGCTGCTGCGTTTGTCGCTGCTGCTGCTGCACTTCTTCGCTCTTCTTTATTCCTTTCCGCCACTCTTCTAGCAGCCAGGCAGCATCAGCAGCAACGGGCTCCACTCCTGCTGCTGCAGCAGCAACAACAGCAGCAGCAGCAACAGCAGCAGCAGCAGCAGCAGCAACAACAGCAGCAGCAACAACAGCAACAGCAGCAGCAACAATAGCAGCAGCAGCAACAATAGCAGCAGTAGCAACAATAGCAGCAGCGGCAACAACAGCAGCAGCAGCAAACACAGTTTACATTGAAAACAGCATCATATACAGCAGCTGCAGCTAGCCAAGCGGCAGCAACAGCTAGCCCAACAGCAGCAGCTAGCGCAGCAGCGGCAGCAGCTAGTGCAGCAAGTGCAGCAGCAGGTTTATCAGGTCATTGCTTTTTTATATCAAAGGTCGTAATACATTTGTAAGGTGTATGTACACCTAATAGTAGTAGTGCTGCTGCATTCCCAATGCTTCTTTGCTGCTGCTGCTGCGGCACGAGTGCTTAAGCAACCGCAGCAGCAGCAGCAGCAGCACCAGCACCAGCAGCAGCAGCAGCAATAGCGAGGCGGATTTCTTTGAATGGCTTTCGCTTGAGACTCTGTTGCCTTGTGGTATATTTATCATAGTTGTTTATTTATTATTGTTTTGCTGCTGTTGCTACTGCTGCTGCTCTGCTGCAGCTGCCCCCTGCTGCAGCATTAGTTAGTTAGTTTCTTAGCGTACCACCAGCACCAGCAGCAGCAGCAGCAGCAGCAGCATGACAGGAGGTGATACTCATCATTGTAGTAAGTAGCAAGCTAATGGGCAGACAGAAGAGCACTGAGTTGGTGTACAGTTAGCTAGCTAGCTAGCTAGCTAGCTAGGCAGTAGTAGTTTAGCTAGCTAGATACATGAGGCTGCTACAGAATATGAAGCGCCTCTGCAGCTACTAGCTAGCTATCTGGCTAGCTAGCTAGCTAGTTGCCTGTATGACTAGCTAGAAGAGTAGACCAAACTAGGAAACGTGTCTGCAGCTACTGGCTAGCTAGCTAGCTAGCTAGCGAGTTAGTTAGGTAGCTAGCTAGCTAAATGGGTAGGCTGGCTAGCTAGCTAGCTAGCTAGCTGTGTTTACCTTCTAAAGCCTCCTTAGTTGCTGTGAGGGCCTCCAGCCGCCAGAGCACTTCTCCTGAAGCAATAAAAATTTGCTGCTGCTGCTCTGCTGCTGTCAATACACCCGAAGGAGACGCTTCGAGAGGAGACAGCAAACGGAGACAAATGAATAACTCCCAACGCAGATCCTGCAGCAAAAAGAAACTGCAGCAGAAGCAGCAGCAGCTCGGTCAGCAGCAGCAGCAGCAGCAGCAGAAACACTACTAGCAATACAACAAACAGCTGCATCAGCAGCAACACAAACAGCAGAAGCATCAAGCAACTAGCAGCAGCAGAAACGGCAGAGGCAGCAGCAGTAGCAACAGCAGCAGCAGCAGCAGCAGCGCCAGCAGCAGCAGCACCATCACTAGCAGCAGCATCATCACCAGCAACAGCAGCATCTTCATCAGCAGCAGCAGCACCACCACCAGCAGCAGCACCACCACCAGCAGCACCAGCAGCAGCACCACCACCACCAGCAGCAACAGCAGCATCTTCATCAGCAGCAGCAGCAGCAGCAGGATATACATCGTCGTTGTGTTGTTGTGAGGTTTTGAGCTGCCAGGGCTGCGGAGACTCCCAGGGCCTCTGAATTGATCCCTCTAAAACTTCTGTCTCCTCTGCTCCTAAACAAACAGCAGCAGCAGCAGCAGCAAAAGCAGCAGCAGCAAAAGCAGCAGCAGCAAAAGCAGCAGCAGCAAAAGCAGCAGCAGTTTCTAGAAGGTTCTTTTTTACGGGCAGCAGCACTTAGCTGCTGCTGCCACTAGCTGCTGCTGCCACTTGCTGCTGCTAGAGCAGCAGCAGCAACTAGAGCAGCAGCTGCAACTAGAGCAGCAGCAGCAACTGCAGCAGCTAGCCCAGCAGCAGCAGCAGCAGGTGCAGAAGCAGCAGCAAGTGCAGCAGCACAAAGAATACCTGGTTTTCTGCATGCTCTCTCGATGTTGATAGTTTTTTGAGTAGGCTTTGAAGTGTACAGACACCGCAGCATTAGGGGCCGAGATATATTTTTTAAGCAGCCTTCGCTGTCTATGCAGCCAAACCTCTGCTGCTCCTGCAGCCACAGCTGCAGCAGCAACTGCTGCAAAGAAGCAGCATTGTAACGGCTGCAGCAACCCCTCCAGGAAGCAAATGCTGCTGCTGCTGCAGGACAACGCAGCGCCTCAGCCAACACTCCCAGCAGCTGCAGCAGCAGCAGAAGCAGGAGCAGCAGCAGCAGCAGAAGCAGAAGCATTGCAGCATCAAGAGATGCTGTCTCCTTGTTGCTGTTTGTCTCCTTACGCCGTTACTACCCAGCTAGCTCTAGCTAGCTGTAGCTAGCTGTAGCTAGCTGATGGCCCCGAGCTCCTGTGATCTCTTCATCAATACACCTAGCAAACAAACTAGCAAACTAACTAACTAACTAACTAACGGTAGCTAGCTAACTAGCTAGCTAGCTAGCTGAGTCTCAAGCTACGGTGCGTGTGGCGTGTGCAGAAACGCCGGCAACCCAATATGCTAGCTAGCTAGCTAGCTAGCTAGCCAGACAGCTAGCTAGCTAGCCAGGTAGGTAGCTATTTAGCTAGCCGTACAGATAGCTAGCTACATAGATAGCTAGCTGGCTAGCTAGCTAGCTAGCTGGCTAGCTAGCGTATAGGGTTGAGGAAGCTCACAGGCTGAAGGTGTCTACGGGGTGTAGCAGCAACTGCTGTTATGAGGGCCTCAACGCCTCCAGCAGCAATAAAGAATTTAACTGTCTCCTCAGAGGAGAGGGCTAGGCTTCGGATTGCTGCTGCTGCTGCTGCTGCTGCTGCTGCTGCTGCTGCACTGGTTAGCGAGCTTGGCGCTTCCTCAGCAGCAAACTGCTGCAGAAGCCAGCAAACGAGTTGCTGCTGTCCCCCAGCAGCAGCAAATGAAAGACAGAGATCTTCGTCTTCAAAGCAGAGACGAGACAGCAGCAGCCACAAGCTGCAGCAGCAATCTGCTTCAGCTGTACAGACACCCCAACCAACACCAGAATCAGTGCAGCACATACCGTCGCTGCTGCTGCTGCTGCACGAGCTGCTGCTGCTGCTGTTGCTGCTGTTGCTGTTGCTGTTGCTGTTGCTGCTGCTGCTGTTGCTGTTGCTGGTGCTGCTGCATGCACTGGAAAGAGCTCCCTTAACCCGCCCGCCAGTATTCGTTTGCTGCTGCTGCTGCTGCTGCTGCTGCTGCTGCACCTGCTTCCGGCGTTGTTGCTGCGGCTGCTGCTGCTGCTCCACCTGCTTCCTGCGTTGCTGCTGCTGCTGCTGCTGCTGGAGGAGCTGCTGCTGCAGGCTTAAGAGCTGCTGCAGTGCCCCTGCCTGAAGAAAGGCGTCGCGAGCACTTGTCCAGACACTACATTCTGCTGCTGCTGCTGTTGCTGCTGCTGCTGCTGCTGCGTCTAGCATAGCCACTCCCTGTCTCAAGGCAGCAGCACATGTTTCACTGTCTCCTCTCGCAGCAGCTGCTGCAGCAATCCGTAGCAGCGCAGCAGGGCCTCCAGCAGCAACAGCAGCAGCAGGGCACCTCAATGTGAGGTCTCCTAGGCAGCAGAGTGCAGCAGCAGCAAGCTCCTTCAGCTGGCACTCTGCAGCAAACAGCAGCAGCAGCAGCAACGCAGCAACAAAAGCATTCAAGAAGAGCAGCAACACGCTAGCTGCAGCAATAGGCGGGCTTTGCTTCTCTTGCTACTGTTGCTGCTCCTCCTCTTGCTACTGCTGCTGTTGTTGTTGTTGTTGCTGCTGCTGCTGCTGTTGCTGGTGCTGTTGTTGCTGCTGCTGTTGTTGCTGCTGCTGCTGTCGCTATGCGGCCATGACTAGGGCTGCTGCCCCCGTGCTGCTGCGCGTGTTGGTGAACAGACGTTTCATTTGCTGCTGCTGCTTGTTGTGCTGCTGCTTGTGCTGCTGCTGCTGCTGCTGCTGCTTGCCTGTGAATCTCCAAGGAGCAGCAGCAAGGAGACAGTCTCTTCGCGGGTCGCTGGCATCTGCTATTGCTGCAAGTGTTGCTGCTACAGGGTAATGCGTAGACAAAGCACAGCAGCAGCAATCTCGCATGCAGCAGCAAACACACAACCAGAGCAGCTGCAGCAGCTCCACGTCTTCAGCAGTAGCCAACTCCTTCGCCCGCACGCACCTGCTGCTGCTGCTGCTGCTGCTGTTGCTGCTGCTGCTGTTGCTGCTGCTGCTGCTGCTGCACAGAGCCTGTTGGCCTTGCTCCCTCAGCACCGCAGCCGGACCCTCAGCAGCAGCAGGAGCAGCAGCAGGAGTAGCAGCAGCCCCAGAAGCAGCCTCAGTTGCATCCTGCGTAGGATCCTCAGCAGGTATAGCAGCAGCAGCAGCAGCAGCAGCAGCAATAGCAGCAGCAGGTGTTGTCTTTAAGGCCTCATCGAATGTGGCGAAGCGCAGCAGCAATCTGAGGGCCCCGCTTGGGGTTAAGTGCTGCAGCAGCAGCGGGTGTGCTGAGATAAGCAGCAGCAAAGAGATAAGATCATTGCGTAGGCTTCTTCCTCTTGCTGAGGAGACAGGAGACAGCAGCTGCTGCAGCAGCACAGACAGCTGCTGCAGCAGCACACGCATCTCTGCAGCAGCCCCGCGTGGGCCTGAGGGACACTGCTGCAGCAGCAGCAGCAGCAGCTGCAGCACCAGCTCCTGCCAACCCCAGGAGATACATGCAGGGCTAAGAGCAGCAGCAACAGCTGCTGCTGCTGCTGTTGTTGTTGCTGCTGCTTCTGTCTCTGTGTCTCCTTTCGTCCTTTCATATTCTGCTGCTGCTGCTGGTTGGTGCTGTTCTCTTAGCGCCCCCAAGCTGCCTATACACCTGGCGAGGAGACAATTTAAAGTGCTGCAGCAGCAAAGATGTGAAGCAAGCTCCGGCTCTTGTGCAAACTGCAGCAAAGTCTGCAGCAGCAGCAGCTCTTCTTCTGGCTGGAGTGCTGCTGCCCTATTTTCTTTTGTCTCTCTCTCTGTCTCTTCTGCTGTCTCTTCGGCTGTCTCCTTGTCTGTCTCTGTTAAAGCAGCAACAGCATTTGTTAATACTTCTTTTAAATAAGCAGCACCTGTGCTGCTGGGGGGAGGAGCCAATTCATTTGCTGCTGCTGCTGCGGCGGCGGCAGCAGCTGCTTCTGCTTCTCCACCTGCTGCTGCTGCTGTTGCTGCTGCTGCTGCTGCTGCTGCAGATCCTGTTGCTGCTGCTGTTGTTGCTGCTGCACTGGGGAGCCTGAGGGGGGAAATCAGCAGATATAAACACATCTGCTGCTTGTGCAGCTTAGCAGCAGCAACAGCAGCAAGTGCAGCAGCACCAAGAACAGCTACAGCATCAGCAACAGAAGAAACAGCAGCAAAGTAAGCACCAGCAGCAGCAGCCAAGAGCTGCAGCACTAGCTGCAGCAGTAGCTGCAGCAAAAGCCTCATAAAAGATAAGCAGCAGCAGAGCCAACAGCAGCAACACTAGCAGCAGAAGAAGCAGCAGCAAAAGCAGCAACAGCAGCAGCAACGGCAGCAGCAAGAACACCAAGAACAACAGCAGCAGCATAAGAAGCAGCAGCAGCAGCAATATCAGCAGCAGCACCAGCAGCAGCAATATCAACAGCAGCAGCAGCAGCAGCTGACTTGTTGTGGAAGATAGGCTGCATCAGATTTGCTGCTGCTGAGTGCAGCAACTCAACAACAGAGCGGCGCAGCGCAGCAAATGCTGCTTTGGTTGCTGCACCCCAATTTGGGGTTGCTGTTGCTGCTGCTGCTCTTGTTGCTGCTGCTGCAGCGAACACGGAAGCAAGGCTACCGATGTCAGCAGCTGCTTCGCTACTAACCTTTGCTGCCTCAGCTGCAGCAGCAGCAGCAGAAGCAGCAGCAGCAGCAGGAATATCATCAAGAAGAGCAGCAGCAACAGAGCCATCACCCGCCGTCCCTCCCCCCTCTGCAGCAGCAGCAGCAGCAGAAGCTGCTGCTGATGTTGCTGTTGCTTGCGTCTGCTGCACAGGCAACAAGACCCTCGACATGACTGCAACAAACTTTGCTGCTGCTGCAGCAAACCGGAATGGGTCTGCAGCAGCAGCAGCACGGGGTGTATATGCAGCTTGCTTACAGAGAGCAGCAAGCGCATGCATAATACTAACATCTCCTTGCAACGCCAGGTGTACATACACCTCAGCCAATCCAGCAAGGGGCCCCCAGTGATCATAAGGGATGCCTCTGTTGCTGCTGCTGCTGCTGCTGTATCTGCTGCATAGCAGACGTAAGCAGCAAGCGTGTCTCTCCTTGTTGCTGCTGCTGAAAGGAGACGTCAGCTCTGCCCACAGAGCGCCCCATTGAGGGGCATCACGAGAAGCAGCAGCAGCACACAGAATCTCCTGCTGTTGCTGCTGTTGCTGCTGCTGTTGCTGTTGCTGCTGTTGCTGCTGCTGTTGCTGTTGCTGCTGTTGCTGCTGCTGTTGCTGCTGCTGCTGCTTGGAGCAGCAGTCAGGGGCAGGCACTGCTTGAGGGGAGACAGAGGAGTCCTTCATAAGGGCAGCCATCTCCAAACAGCAGCACGATGCAGTAGCAGCAGCAGCAGCAGCAGCTGCTGCAGCAGCAGCAGCAGCAGCAGTAGCAGTAGCAGTAGCAGCAGCAGAAGTAGCAGCAAGAGCAACACCGGAAGCAGCAGAAGAAGAAGAACTACCAAGAGAGCACCGTCAGCAGCGAGAGCAGCAGCAGCAGCACTAGAAGCCCCAGCTAGCCACGGCCCCACGAGCAGTCATGTGTTGCTGCTGCTGCAGTTTGTGTTGCTGCTGCTGCTGCTGCTGTTGTTGCTGCAGCTCGGAGCAGCATCAAGGCCTCCTAGTGCCGGGTGTACAGACACCGCAATGCTGAGGACCTCTTCAAGCAGAGGCTGCTGCTGCGCTGCAGCACAAGTGACCTCACGGCTGCTGCTGCTGCTGCTGCTGCTGCTGCTGCTGCTGCTGCGGACTTGCTGAAAAAAGGCTGCAAGTATTGGTTTAAACAAATTAAAATTTATATTTCTAAGTGAAATATTAATTTGATTTTTATTTTTATTTAAAAGAGAGAAAAGAAGACAGAAAAACACTGCACAGACACCAGACACTCAAGCCCAACTGCAGCTGCAGCCACTCACTGAAACCCTAAACCCTAAACCCTAAACCCTAAACCGTCAACCCTAATGAGTATGTGTTGGAGCAAGCATTACGCTGATTTGCCTCAAAGGATGCAACAAAGCCTAATATAAGGGAACAGCTGTGGACACTGTTTAGGGTTTGGGGTTTAGGGTCTAGGGTTTAGGGTTTAGGGTTTAGGGTTTAGGGTTTAGGGTTAAGGGTTAAGGGTTTACTCCCCTCCTGCAGCAACAGCAACAGCAACAACAGCAGCAACAGTTTCTGCTGCTGCATTTGCTGTTGCTTTTATAGACTGTAGAAGGGTTGTCCCTCACCCGTGCAGCAAGGCCTATAAACCCTAAACCCTAAATCCTAAATCCTAAACCCTGGCCCCCAAACCCTAAACCCTAAACCCTAAACCTTTAAGAGGCCTCTTACAAACCCCAACCAAACAGCCCTAAAACCCTTAAACCCCCCCGAACCCCCCTCAACGGGGGCTCCCTCCCCCTAAACCTCAAACCCTAAACCCCAAACCCTAAACCCTAAACCCTAAACCCTGAACTGCAACCCTATCCCCCACACCGCCAATCAGACCATCCCAACATCTGCTCCTATGGTAAAGGGTTTAGGGTTTAGGGTTTACTGTTTAGGTTTTACTGTT